TGGACCAATATCTAAACAAACAAATCTACCAACATTTTGTAAGTCTACTTCATGTAATTATTAATCTACCACAAACTGGAAGGAAATTTATTTTAAATTTAAATCTACCACAAAACAAACATATCTCCCACAAAACAAATAAATCTATCAACATTTTTTAAGTCTACCTCATGTAACATATAATCTACCACTCACCGGAATGAATTTTAACTGAATTAAATCTACCACAAGCCAAACATATCTACTACAAAAGCGAAAACTCTACCAACTATATATAACTCTACCATAAAACAGATATATCTACCGCACGTATTGACAACTTTTTTCACATAAATCTACCGCTAAAAGACATAAGTCTACCAACTCAGAATATAAATCTACTTAATTGTCAATAAATCTACCAAAAAAGTCAACTATGCGAGAAAATCAACGCTTTTTTTAACAAGTCTACCAAAACTTTTGACAAGTCTGTCATTCATAACAACAAATCTACCGAAACATAATAAATCTACCTCTCATCGTCAAAACTCTACCAAGATAAGTCTACCAACATTTAAAAACTCTACTAACTCTCGAATAAATCTACCATCGACCTAATAATTCTACCGATAAAATTTTTGCGTTGACCAAAATTTCATAAATCTACCGTCATAGCTTGGTAGACTTATGAAATTTTGAGCGCAATAATCTGCCTACGTGGCATTAAAAAAGTAATGGCATTTTTGTAATTAGATTTTTTTGACAAAGGCGAAAAAAGTGTTTTGGGTATGCTAGGTTAGTTTTGTAAAAAAAATAAAAGTGCGTCGAACGAGTAATATAGATACTTTCTAAGGTTAGTGTAGTAATCCTCCCTTATGTATATAGATGTATTAAAATGTTTAATTTGAAGTTTTTTTAAAATAGAATGACAATCTGGTAATAATATTGATTATTTGGACAAAATGGTATAACACCAACTTTCTAAGGTTAGTCTAATAAGCTGATGAATATGTTAAGCTAAATTTGTCAATACATTAACCTTAAAGGCTACTCTGAGAAATTTTTAAAAAGTAACAGATCTTTTCATACGCAATAGCCAATACTAGTAGTTTAACAAATTGACCTTTAACAACTGACAAAATCTTCCAAAAAGAAAACAATAATTTACGTAATTCTTGCAAGAAACACCATTAAAATCGAACTTCACGAGCTTTGAGACACAAGGAGTGAGAGAGAGAGAGAGAACCTATCGGCGATGTAACTGAGGAGAGAACCAGTACCGAAGTGCCAAATCTCGATCTCAAGCAAGCCTCCCTGGCTACGATCAACCGCATGACACGGCACATTTTATCGAGGCCGTGCCCCAAGCGTCCCAAGAATACTCCGAAATCGATACGCATGTCAATCTTCCGCCACATCGAAGGGTCTTTAGAGACGCGACGCCGCAATGTACACACTTTCTGTGCGCTTTCCAATATCTCAACCGCGCCGAGCCTGTGCAGGATGGATGACGTCAGTTCCGACGGCAGCTCCGCCCAGTTTCTGCATTCTCCGTCTTCCATCATCGCCGTCTTCCATCATCGCCGGAGGCAAAGAGGAAAGAGGAAGAAGCCATTTTCTGCGATAGTCGAACTGTGTCAGTCCATTAAATAAGGGAGTGAAGTCGTTTCAACTTTCAAGACCTTCGTCTACATTCACTAAATTTAGTTTCAACTTTCAAGACGACTGCGAGGAAGAGGAAGAGGCTATTTTCTCTAATGGTCAAATTTGTGTCATGACCATACATTAAGTAACGGAGTGAAGTAGTTTCAAACTTTCAACTTTCCAGACATTCGTTTCAACTTCCAAGACATCGTATTCAAATCCATCACTAAAATTACCATATGGTCCTTCATGACATTTCATATTAGCCAACATTATTTGGGCCAACGTATAATTTAGCCTACTAATATTAGTGCTTGACACGGCCCGTTTTTAACCTTATAAATCAAGAAGAATGTCTACTTGAAGAACCGACAGATGAAGAGATTGATATTTGCTTGATCTTGCTTAGTCTTGGAACCTCATTAGTTTCCGCATAGATTCTTCAACCTAAGGCATTGAGATAATTTCTGTTTCCACAAGCTTTTAAGCAATCTTTTGGAAGATTATCACTGCAGAATTACAACAAAGGCTTGCTTTCTTGAATGTTGCATAGTAAACACAAAACTTTGAAACTTTTCTTGAGTTTTAGATATTTGTAGAAAGACAACAGAAACAACAAAAAAAAAGCTTCGCAGAAGCAATATACATTATTACTAAGATTACATTAACACACGGACACAAAAGAGGTCATGAACTCGAGAAGATGTCACCAGCGAATCCGTGCATCTAGAAAGCATAAAATTTGACAATGAATCGAAAATTGGGAAGCTATCATCATCATCAGATGAATCTATATCGCTAACCGCTGCATCATATGAGTAATCATGATGATAGGAGTGGAATCTCGGTGAGATTCAGAGTTGAGATGAGAAGAGAAAATAGAAGGAGATGAGAATAGAGATTGATATTTGATGTTTAATGTCAAGTTGCCCTAAAGTTTCGGGACTTCATTAAATACAACCCTCATAATCGAAACAGAACACTCCTCAAAGAGAGGCTCTTTTTCGATTCCTTTAGCCACTTTCTTCGTTCTGCTTCCTTTGCTCCCACTTCCTGGGTCTTCTTCCCTTAGTCCGACCTTTCTTTCTCATAAAGGCAATTGGGACCAGCAGCTTATCACATGAGGCGAGTCATGAGGTCGTCTCACAACTTTGATCCTCTCGGAACACCGCTTCTCGACCTCCGCGACAAGGTTAACATTGAAACAATGGCGTAAATCAAGGTGTTCCAGGTCAGGACAATTGTCAAGAATGGCGTTTAGGCCGGCGTCTGTTAATCTGTTCCCGAAAAGCTGGAGGTGGCGAAGTCTGGGCATTGTTGCAGCGATTGCTAGAGCCTCTTCGTCGTCACTCTCGTTTCCAGGACGCCTGTAACCCACGGAGTTTAGCTTCAATGTCTTCAGATTTGGACGAGACTTGCCTGCAACTTTCAGAGGCTCTTCTGACAATGAACAGTACGAAACCTCGAGGTTCTCAAGCAATGGAAGTTTCACAAATGCTTTGGCAAATCCATCTTCTGTTATTGGATAGCACAATGCAAGCTTAAGCCTTCTCAGATTACTTGAACTGCAATTAATTGTCTAAAACGTTATTCCAAAAAAAAAAAAACCTAAGATACAGAAGAGGAACGATAGAGATGCAAAACTTGGTGTAAACTAACTTTCTTTTCTAGCACCTCAAGAACCTGAAGCAAAGGATCAATAATCACAAAACCCGAACAATAAGCTTTTCATTGATTAATTAACGACAATGTAGAAGGAAAAGAAAAAAACTCAACATTTCATTAACAAAACCTGTGATTCAACAAATCGATTTCTAACTAGCAATGCGTACATACACCCAAGTAAAGGTAAACTCAATAAGTGCACTCATCAGATATCCATCCAGTTAAAAAGAGTGACACAAATTCTTCAAGAACAATCATAAGCTAACAACAACTTCCCAAAAGGACAAGGAACAAGAGACATTCCAAAACCACTCAGACTACAGAGATCTTTCATATCTAACCTTCAAAATTAATATACCCCATTTAAACAACTGAAATCAAATTTACTTGAAGAACATCAAAATTGGAGTGGTTTCAAGTCACAATGTGAGAGAGAGAACCTATCGGCGATGTAATTGAGGAGCTCATCAGTACCAAATCTCGATCTCAAGCAAGCCTCCCTGGCTACGATCAACCGCATGACGACACATTTTCTCGAGGCCGGGCTTTAAGTTTCCAAATACATCGAGATCATTACGCATGTCAATCTTCCGCCACATCGAAGGGTCTTTACAGATGCGACGCCACGATCTGCACACTTTCTGAGCATTTTCCAGTATCTCAATCGCGCCGAGCCGGTGCAGGATCGACGACGTCAATTCCGGCGGCACCTCCGCCCAGTTTCTGCATTCTGCTTCCTTCATCGCCGAATGTCAAAACATATCCGCTTGTAATTAACACAATTAGGTCCTCATGATTTCACATATTCACAATTAGGGCTAAGTTTTCCAAAAACTGGGCTTAGGCCTATAATTGAACTCATATCCGTACTCACTGAAAATGCATCATTAAAAAAACCTCAAAACATTGTTCTCGCGAGTAACAATCACGCGCTCAAAGCTTGTTAGACATTGAATCACTGAGCATACAGAGAAAAAAAGAGAGGACGTGAACAAGTTCATAAGTCGACAAGACCAGCTAAAAAAACAAAACACATGTCCACTGCATTGTTCAGAGAGATATCAATATCTAGAAGTCCCCAAAATCAAAATAGTCGTAGTCGTTGCAATAATAATCGTTGGGACCTGTTAAATCAGAGATGTTAAAACCATATGGGTAACCAGCGGTTGAGTCATTGGGGCGTTTCAAATCTTTGATCCTCTCGGAACATCGCTTTTCCAGATCCCCAGAAAGTTTAATGTTGAAACACTTGCGTAAATCAAGGTGTTCCAGTTGAGTACAACCATCAAGAATGGCGTTCAAGCCCGTATTTGTTAGGGTGTTCCCAAAAAGCTCTAGGTGGCGTAGTTCAGGCATGCTTTCTGCAATTGCTAGAGCTTCTTCGTCATTAAACTCTTCGTCATTAAACTTGGGGTCAGGGTTAGAAATTAGCCTCAATGTTTTCAGATTTGGACAAGACTGGCCTGCAACTTTCAGAGACTCTCCTGACAACGAGCCGTATGTAACCTCGAGGTATTCGAGCAATGGCAGTTTCACAACTGCCTCGACAAATCCCTCGTCTGCTATTGGATAGCACATTATAAGTCTAAGGCTTCTCAGATTACTCGACCTGCAAATAACTTGTTGTGTAAAAAGGTTAAAAACACAATCCAAGATAGAGAAGAAGAGCCACAAAGATGCAAAATGATCTTTTTTATAGCACACAAAGAACTTGAAACCAAACGTTTAAGCATAACAATCATAGAATCAGATGTTTGTTTATTTCTACTCCAAAACGTAAAGAGCAAGGGATTAACACTTTAACAGTCACAAGACTGAAAAAAATAAAGATATTTTCTTATATAGCACACGAAGAACATGAAGCCAAACATTTAGACCTCAGAAGCTTAACATTGTTAGAACTTAGAATCAAGTGGATAGTTTCAACCAAGAACACTTCATTAACACAACTACTGATTCAACAAACTGATTTTAGTCAAAAAGGAGTAACACAAAATCCTCTAAAGAACAATCACAAAAGCTAATCATTATTTCCCCAATTCTCACAAGTAAAAGGAACAACAGGCAACTCCCAACCACTCAAACAACAAAGACCTTTTATATCTAAACCCTAGAATTGTCATACCATATTCAACGAATTAAACCAAAATAGGCGTGGTTTTGAGTCACAGAGAGACAGAACCTATCGGCTATGTAATTGAGAAGCTCATCAGTACCAAAGTACCAAATGTCGATCTCAACCAAGCCGCCCTGGCTACGATCAACAGCGTGACGACACATGACCTCGAGGTCGTACCCCATGCTTCCCAAGTCTCCGAGGTTGTCCATGTCGATCTTCCGCCACATCGAAGGGTCTTTACAGACGCGACGCCACGATCTACACACTTTCTGAGCTTTTTCAAGTATCTCAATCGCGCCGAGCCGGTGTAGGATCGATGACGTCAATTCAGGCGGAAGCTCCGCCCAGTTTCCATATTCCCCGTCTTCCATCGCCGGAGGTAGAGACGTAGACGAAAGCGAAGAGGAAGAGGAAGAAGCCATTTTCGAGTATGGCCAGTAGGTAAAGGGAGTGAAGTAGTTTCAACTTTCAAAACGATGTACCCATCGCTAGAATTACCATATGATCCTTCATGGCATTACATATTTTAATAACATAATTTGGGCTAGTGTACAATGAGCCTACTAATATTAGAGCTTGATACGGCCCGTTAATATCTTCAACCTTATTTAAAGCATCAAGGACCTTCGCAATTCTTGAGCCAGTAAAAAACTAAAAATTCAGGTTTCTAAATAGAATTTTTGATTACGTTAGACCATCCACAACGCGGGATGGGCGAGGTTCATCCATGGGGCCCAATACTATTATTTTAATTTTTTTTAATCGATTAAACTCAAAAAGTCGCTGATACCGTCTCATTGGGATGAGTCTGACGAGCCCGTATCGTCGAGGTTCAACGGACTACGTGGCAAGCAGTGATTGGGTGTAGTTTGGGGGAAATTTTTTAGAGTCGGGGTCGAAGGTTAGGGTTTATTTCGTATTCTGTTTTAATCAAAAAAAAAAACTCCCAAAGGCGATTTGCGATATCGCGACTTCAACACAAGTCTTCTCCTTCGATCGAATCGACGGTGAATCGTCGCTTCTCCTCCGGTGGATCAGTAAAGTACGTCGTCTATTTCTTTTGATGTATTTTAATTTCGTTTTATTCGGAAGTTTGAATCGAGACTAGGGTTAACTAAATTGGGGGAAAATTAGGGTTTTGCGGGCACTTTTGTTTTGGGGCTTTTGGTGTTTAGTAAGATTTGGGTGCGATTCATTGTTCTTATATTCAATCGGTTCCGGATTACTCATATTAGGGGTTTAAAAATTGATGATAAAATTAGGGTTCTTGATGATAAAATTATGTGATTGGATATTGCTTTGTAGGTTTCATTGATTGTTTTATTTTATTCTATTGAATCCCTAATTGGGTATCAGGGTTGGACGCCCATTTTTCACCCAGGTTAATCCAAGGTTCTTCCACATTCTCTCTCCTCCAAAAATTATTAAAAAATGCTGATGAACACCATCATGGGGTTCAGGGTTGTGGATGGTCTTACAGTTTTATTAGAGCATCTCCAACGAGGTCTTTTATTTTAAAGGAAACTGACCCTTAAAATAAAGGTTTGAAGGTGAAGTATTCCAACAAGGACCCTTAAATTTATCTTTAAAAATATTTTAATATTACATACTAGTCATCAGCATAAACAATAATTAAATAAAATAATAAAAATGATATAATAGATACAAAACATACTTTAAATTAAAATATTGCATAACATATTATTAAAAGGCATGAAGTTCAAGAAGTGTTCAAGGGAAAGCTCTGTATATCGAAAGGAGGAAGATGGGAATCTCCTCATTGTGGCTGTTTATGTTGATGATCTTTTTGTAACAGGAAATACAATGGATCTCATCAAGGCTTTTAAGGTGGGAATGTCGTCAAAATTCGAGATGTCTGATTTAGGAAGACTTACATATTACCTTGGAATAGAAGTTAAGCAAAGTAAAGATGGGATCGAGATAAAGCAGGAAGCTTATGCATGCCGTATACTCAAAGAAGCTGGCCTAGACGCATGTAACCCGACTCACATTCCAATGGAGTTCGGCTTAAACATGTCAAAAGGGCAAGAAGATGAACCTGAGATAGATGCAGCCATGTATCGAAGAAGAATTGGCTGTCTAAGATACCTCCTGCACACGCGACCTGATCTCTCTTTTGCTGTTGGAGTACTTAGTAGGTATATGCAAACTCCTAAGGAATCACATGGACAAGTGATGAAACAAGTATTGAGATACTTACAAGGGAAATTGGCGTATGGTCTGAAGTACAAGAAAGGTGGTTCTAAGAAACTTATTGGCTACAGCGACAGCAGCCATAATGTAGACCCCGACGATGGAAGAAGCACAACAGGACATGTCTTCTACTTTGGTGAAACACCAATCAGCTGGTGTTCCCAAAAACAAGACCGAGTTGCTCTGTCCTCATGCGAAGCCGAATTTATGGCTGCCACAGAAGCTGCCAAACAAGCGATCTGGTTACAAGACTTGCTGAGTGAGATTACCGGTTTGAAGGTCCAGAAACTACTTATACGAATAGACAACAAATCGGCCATCTCACTCACAAAGAATCCTGTATTCCATGGCAGAAGTAAACATATCCACAAGCGTTACCATTTCATCCGGGAATGTGTCGAAGAAGATCAAATAGAAGTCGAGCATGTACCAGGTGAAGAGCAATGCGCAGATATTCTAACTAAAGCCCTAGCAAGACTGAAGTTCAAGAAGATGAGAGATTTGATAGGAGTTCAAAACCTCTCTGAAAATGAACTGAAGCTTAAGGGGGTGAATGTTGGATAGGCTTCAATAGCTTGAGGCCCAAGACATCCTAATCTAAATAGGATTAGGATAAGATAGGCCAACTAGAATTAGGAGTTATCTAGTTCTAGGAAAAATAGGATTAGGAAAAGGAAATTCTAAAACCTATATATATGTTTATCGAGCTTGTGATAAACATAAGAGAGAACATTGATGTTTAGTTTTGAGCTAAGTTTCTAAACATAATAAAGAGAGCATATTCTTTATACAAGTGTTTCTTTCTTAAGCAACTATATTGTGGTAGCAGAGCTAAACAGATATCGACGACGAAGTAATAGCAAAAAACGACGACGATGGCAGACGATGAAGACACCAAAGGAGAGGAGTCGAAAGCAGTCTCAACCATCACCGTACGGAAAGAAACAACTCCGTCATCTTCTACGATCCAGTGCCCCATGCTCACCCCGACGAACTATGCCGTATGGTCTATGAGAATGAGAGTGACTTTACGAGTTCACAAGGTTTGGGACACAATCGAACCCGGATCAGAAGTAGCAGAAAAGAACGACATCGCGACGGCACTGCTATTTCAGTCGATCCCCGAAAGCCTCGTACTAATAGTTGGAGACCACGACTCACCAAAGCTTATATGGGAAGCAATTAAATCGCGAAACCTAGGAGCAGACAGGGTGAAAGAAGCACGTCTCCAAACCCTAATGGCCGAATTTGAGAGATTAAGGATGAGTGAATCCGACACAATTGATACCTTCTCAAGCAAGATATCAGAGCTAGCATCGAAGTCATCATCTTTAGGAAAAAAAATCGAAGAAACAAAGATGGTAAAGAAGTTTCTTCAAAGCTTGCCAAGGAACAAGTATATTCAAATCGTAGCATCGTTGGAGCAAGTCCTTGATCTCAACACAACCAGTTTCGAAGAGATTGTTGGACGGCTCAAAGCATACGAAGAGCGTATACAAGAAGAAAAACATGGTGAAACAACCCAAGGAAACTTATTGTTCACTAACACATCGACACAAGAAAACCAAACCAACCAAGAAGGATCACAAGGACGTGGAAGAGGCCGAGGTCAAGGAAGAGGCTCGCGCGGAAGAGGCCGTGGTAGAGGCAATAACCAAGACCGAAACAAAGAAAAGAAGGACAGATCAGAGGTAGTGTGTTTTCGCTGTGATAAAAAGGGTCACTTTGCTTCAGTATGCCCGAAAAGAAAGAAAAAGATGCAAGAACTGAACAAGGTCGAAACAGAGGATGCAGACGAAGCACTTTACATGCAAGAGATCATCTTTCTGAACGAAGAAAAGGTACTTCCTAAGAAATACGACTCTAACAAAGAAGAAGAAGGAACCTGGTATTTGGATAACGGCGCAAGCAACCATATGACCGGAGTACGTTCTTTCTTCTCTGAGTTAAACGAGAACGTAAAAGGAAAAGTCAAGTTTGGAGATGGTTCGTCTGTTGACATAGGAGGTAAAGGTTCGATCCTGTTTGAAGGAAAAACAGGAGAACAACAGCTCCTAACAGATATCTACTTCATTCCATCGCTAAAGAGCAATATACTAAGCTTAGGACAGGCTACTGAATACGGCTGTGATGTGAGAATGAAGCAAGACTATCTAACTTTGCGAGACCCTAGTGGAAGACTCTTAGCTAAAGTAATAAGATCCCCTAACAGACTTTACAAAATCAGCCTCAAGATTGGAAAACCAATATGCCTACACTCTAAGATTGACAGAGATACATGGAAGTGGCATGCCAGACTTGGTCACATTAGTTTCAGAACTATCAAGACCATGTCAGCACAAGAGCTGGTTCAAGGACTACCCAAAATCCAAAGTGAAAAAGAGTTATGCGAATCATGCCTAGTAGGAAAGCAAGCTCGCCATTCTTTCCCAAAAGCAACGCAGTACCGAGCTACAAGGGTATTAGAACTCATTCATGCGGATTTATGTGGCCCTATATCACCAGCAACGTTTGCCAAGAACAGGTATATATTTGTAATCATCGATGATTACACAAGATATATGTGGACCATACTGCTAAAAGAAAAAGGTGAGGCATTCGACAAGTTTAAGGAGTTTAAGACACTTGTTGAAAAGGATCTCAACAAGTCGATCTTAACACTAAGAACAGACAGAGGTGGGGAGTTTACTTCAAAAGAATTCCAGGATTTCTGCAACAAAACAGCAATTAAAAGGCATCTTACAGCTCCTTATACTCCACAGCAGAATGGAGTAGTAGAAAGGAGAAACAGGACCTTAATGGAGATGGCAAGGAGTATTCTTAAAGCAATGAGGGTTCCAAACATATTGTGGGGAGAAGCAGTACGTCATTCAACCTATCTAATTAACAGAATTCCTACAAGAGCACTAAAGGAACAAACACCCTACGAATGCTTGAGAGGAAAGAAGCCAAGAATCGATCACTTAAGAGTTTTTGGCTGTCTCGCTTATGCGAAAGTTGAAAACGTGAATCTAAGAAAGCTAGATGATCGATCACAAGCCCTTGTGCATCTTGGGATTGAACCAGGATCTAAGGCATACAGGCTCTACAATCCAGCAACAAGGAAAATCATTGTAAGCAGAGATGTTGTTTTCAATGAAAAAGAAGGTTGGAACTGGAAGGGAGCTGGTGAAATCGAAGAATCTAGACCAGGGATGTTCCATATGACATGGGGAGATGCAGTGGACGAAGGGCAAGGTCCATACACCTGCAACGACGAACAGAGTCATGGAACAGAGCCTGGAAGAGAAGATAGCAAAGATGAAAGCTTTGTGCAAGAGCAAAAAGAACACACAGATGCACCACAGCTAAGAAGATCTAAACGTGAAGTAAGACAACCTAAGCGGTTCAAAGATTACGTCCTCTTAGCAGATGTTGAGTGCGAGCTACTTCTACTTGCATTAAACGATGAGCCAAGAAATTTTGGTGAAGCAAAGGGCTCACCTCACTGGACAAAAGCGTGTACAGAAGAAATAGACTCCATCAACAAGAACAAAACCTGGAGATTAGTCGATAAACCTGCAGGAGTAAAGGTTATCGGACTAAAATGGGTATTTAAAGTCAAGAGGAATACTGATGGATCTATAAACAAATACAAAGCTAGACTAGTTGCAAAAGGGTATGTGCAACAAGAGGGAATCGATTTTGAAGAAGTTTTTGCACCTGTTGCAAGACTTGAGACGATCCGATTACTCGTAGGTCTGGCCGCTTCCCATGGTTGGGAAATTCATCATCTCGACGTCAAGACGGCCTTCTTACATGGTGAACTAAATGAAGAAGTGTTTGTCTCACAACCAGAAGGATTTGAAAAGAAGGGAGAAGAGCACAAAGTTTTCAAACTTGCTAAAGCTTTATATGGTTTGAGACAAGCACCAAGGGCATGGAACACTAAACTTGATCATATTTTAAAAGGCATGAAGTTCAAGAAGTGTTCAAGGGAAAGCTCTGTATATCGAAAGGAGGAAGATGGGAATCTCCTCATTGTGGCTGTTTATGTTGATGATCATTTTGTAACAGGAAATACAATGGATCTCATCAAGGCTTTTAAGGTGGGAATGTCGTCAAAATTCGAGATGTCTGATTTAGGAAGACTTACATATTACCTTGGAATAGAAGTTAAGCAAAGTAAAGATGGGATCGAGATAAAGCAGGAAGCTTATGCACGCCGTATACTCAAAGAAGCTGGCCTAGACGCATGTAACCCGACTCACATTCCAATGGAGTTCGGCTTAAACATGTCAAAAGGGCAAGAAGATGAACCTGAGATAGATGCAGCCATGTATCGAAGAAGAATTGGCTGTCTAAGATACCTCCTGCACACGCGACCTGATCTCTCTTTTGCTGTTGGAGTACTTAGTAGGTATATGCAAACTCCTAAGGAATCACATGGACAAGTGATGAAACAAGTATTGAGATACTTACAAGGGAAATTGGCGTATGGTCTGAAGTACAAGAAAGGTGGTTCTAAGAAACTTATTGGCTACAGCGACAGCAGCCATAATGTAGACCCCGACGATGGAAGAAGCACAACAGGACATGTCTTCTACTTTGGTGAAACACCAATCAGCTGGTGTTCCCAAAAACAAGACCGAGTTGCTCTGTCCTCATGCGAAGCCGAATTTATGGCTGCCACAGAAGCTGCCAAACAAGCGATCTGGTTACAAGACTTGCTGAGTGAGATTACCGGTTTGAAGGTCCAGAAACTACTTATACGAATAGACAACAAATCGGCCATCTCACTCACAAAGAATCCTGTATTCCATGGCAGAAGTAAACATATCCACAAGCGTTACCATTTCATCCGGGAATGTGTCGAAGAAGATCAAATAGAAGTCGAGCATGTACCAGGTGAAGAGCAATGCGCAGATATTCTAACTAAAGCCCTAGCAAGACTGAAGTTCAAGAAGATGAGAGATTTGATAGGAGTTCAAAACCTCTCTGAAAATGAACTGAAGCTTAAGGGGGTGAATGTTGGATAAGCTTCAATAGCTTGAGGCCCAAGACATCCTAATCTAAATAGGATTAGGATAAGATAGGCCAACTAGAATTAAGAGTTATCTAGTTCTAGGAAAAATAAGATTAGGAAAAGGAAATTCTAAAACCTATATATATGTTTATCGAGCTTGTGATAAACATAAGAGAGAACATTGATGTTTAGTTTTGAGCTAAGTTTCTAAACATAATAAAGAGAGCATATTCTTTATACAAGTGTTTCTTTCTTAAGCAACTATAGTAGAGACATAGACGAAAGCGAAGAGGAAGAGGAAGAAGCCATTTTCGAGTATGGCCAGTAGGTAAAGGGAGTGAAGTAGTTTCAACTTTCAAAACGATGTACCCATCGCTAGAATTACCATATGATCCTTCATGGCATTACATATTTTAATAACATAATTTGGGCCAGTGTACAATGAGCCTACTAACATTAGAGCTTGATACGGCCCGTTAACATCTTCAACCTTATTTAAGGCATCAAGGACCTTCGCATTTTTTGAGCCAGTAAAAAACTAAAAATTCAGGTTTCTAAATAGAGTTTTTGATTACGTTAGACCATCCACAACGCGGGATGGGCGAGGTTCATCCGTGGGGCCCAATACTATTATTTTAATTTTTTTTAATCGATTAAGCCCAAAAAGTCGCTGATACCGTCTCATTGGGATGAGTCTGACGAGCCCGTATCGTCGAGGTTCAACGGACTACGTGGCAAGCAGTGATTGGGTGTAGTTTGGGGGAAATTTTTTAGAGTCGGGGTCGAAGGTTAGGGTTTATTTCGCATTCTGTTTTTATCAAAAAAAAAACTCCCAAAGGCGATTAATCGCGACTTCGACACAAGTCTTCTCCTTCGATCGAATCGACGGTGAATCGTCGCTTCTCCTCCGGTGGATCAGTAAGGTATGTCGTCTATTTCTTTTGATGTATTTTAATTTCGTTTTATTCGGGAGTTTGAATCGAGACTAGGGTTAACTAAATTGGGGGAAAATTAGGGTTCTGCGGGCACTTTTGTTTTGGGGCTTTTGGTGTTTAGTAAGATTTGGGTGCGATTCATTGTTCTTATATTCAATCGGTTCCGGATTACTCATATTAGGGGTTTAAAAATTGATGATAAAATTAGGGTTCTTGATGATAAAATTATGTGATTGGATATTGCTTTGTAGGTTTCATTGATTGTTTTATTTTATTCTGTTGAACCCCTAATTGAGTATCAGGGTTGGACGCCCATTTTTCACCCAGGTTAATCCAAGGTTCTTCCACATTCTCTCTCCTCCAAAAATTATTAAAAAATGCTGATGAACCCCATCATGGGGTTCAGGGTTGTGGATGGTCTTACAGTTTTATTAGAGCATCTCCAACGAGGTCTTTTATTTTAAAGGAAACTGACCCTTAAAATAAAGGTTTGAAGGTGAAGTATTCCAACAAGGACCCTTAAATTTATCTTTAAAAATATTTAAATATTACATACTAGTCATCAGCATAAACAATAATTAAATAAAATAATAAAAATGATATAATAGATACAAAACATACTTTAAACTAAAATTAATAAATAAAACATTACATGATAATATAAATAAATAACAATAATACATTCATAAACTAAATAATAAAATTACATATAAATTTATAAATTATTAAATAAAATTATATTCATAATGCTCTCATATATGATCAACCAATGCATTTCGAAGTAATAAATGAGCTTCTTTGTTTTTTATCTGTAGATTACGAACTAAAAATTGTTGAAATCGGATATTTTTGTTTACTGCTATTTCAACTGTTGTTTGTGGTACTGATCTCGCCTCTCTAATCGGTGCATTGTCATCACGTTCATCCTCAATAATCATGTTATGCATTATAATGCATGATGTCATTATATCATGTAGTACCTCTTTCTTCCAATAACGTGAAGATCCTGCTACGATTGCAAACTTTGATTGTAAAACCCTAAAATATTGCTAACAAATTTAAGTTCTATCGATGATAGTAATACACATGAGTTTATTCGTTCTGAACAAACAAGAATCATACGAAAAAGAACTCAAGAGCAACAACCTCCGATTGCACCAAATTTATATGGACAATATTTTGGTGAATTTGGAGATTCTGGATCAAGTTTACCTAAATATATAATAGTGTAATTTTATTTTGTAAAATATTTATGTATGTTTGTGATTTTATTATCATGTAAGAAATTATTAGTGTTATTTTATATTTTGGTGTAATTTGTTTAATGTAATATTATTGTTATGTGAAATTTGTTTTTGTGTTATTTAATATTTTTATTTTTAATTTTGAATTAAAGTTTAATATATATATATATATATATTTATTTTAATATATAACAGCTAAGTTTATAATGCTATATTTTTGAAATTTGTTTGAGGTATATCTAAAGTAAAAAAAAAACAAGAAATTTATTTGATTATTTGTAAGATATATGGATTACAAGAACTAAAATGTAAAGTAAAAAGTTTTTTAAGAGGATGAACAGTATCCCTTATATTTGAGGGGTCACTATTCAACTCTTTAAAAAACAAGGGTTTGAGGATCTGTTGGAGACCAAAACCCCTTAAAAAATAAGGGTTTAAGGGTCTGTTGGATATTACATATCTTATTATTTAGCTTCTTCGCATTTCTTGTTGGGTCAGAACAAGATTTAATTAAATTTTTGGGAGGATTCTCACTGCAGAAATAGCACAATGCTTGCTTCGTAGTAGCACGATTTTCTTGAGTTTAGACGTTGTAGAAAGACAACAAAATGGTTTGCAAAAGCAAAAGACACTCTTACAAAGGTTACATAGGACAATCAAAAGTCCATTGAAACTGGAAGCGAGCATGCTGAGAAATATTAATTGAGAAGATTTCACCTGCGAATGGGATGCATCAGTTCATTGTAAATAAATATCATACTGGTCGTAGTCAGGGTCATAAGCATAATAATAATAGTCAAAGTCGTAAGCATTGTAGTCACTGCCTGACTGGTCATATTCAGGTTCTGTTATTATACTGGCATCAGAACGGTACTCTTCTTCCCATGGATCCCACGTTGCATCATACGGGTAATCATGAGTGGAGTCATAAGGTCGTCTCACAACTTTGATACTCTCGAAACACCGCTTCTCCAGATCCCCATCAAAGTAAACGTCTAAACACTGGCGTAAATCAAGGTGTTCCAGGTTAGGAGAATTGTCAAGAATGGCGTTCAAGCCGTCGTCTGTTAACATGTTCCCGAAAAGCTGGAGATGACGAAGTCCGGGCATTGTTTCAGCGATTGCAAAAGCATCATCATAAGAGTACTCGTAATCCCCACGGTTTAGCTTTAATGTCTTTAGATTTGGACAAGACTTGCCTACAACTTTCATAGACTCTGCTGACACTCTGCAGTATGAAACCTCGAGTTCCTCAAGCAATGGGAGTTTCTCAACTGCTTTGGCAAATCCATAGTCTGTTAGTTCTCCAGAGAACATTGCAAGTTTAAGGCTTCTCAGATTCCTTGAACTGCAGATAGTTGGCATGTAAAAGTTAGAAACATGATATAAGCTAGAGAAGAAGAACAATAAGCTGCAAGATATATATATATATATATATATATATACATTTTCCAAGCATCCCAATAACCATGAAGCCAGCCCATTAGACCTCTCATCAGAACCCAACCAATATTCTTAAATATTCAGTCCTATTAGTTCATTAACTGCTTCAACAAATTTACTGCTAACTTACAATGCAAGCATTCCCAAAAACGAATCCAAAAGTGTATTCATCAGAAGAGATCGATCCAGCCCAAGGAAGAGAGTAAAATACAAAACGAAATCTGTTCTAGCCCTAGAGTTACATAGGTACTCAGAACAAGTAACATCTTTCATAACCAGCATCTGTTCTAGCCCTAGAATTAGCAAACCCCTGTTCTCTAAAAATGATTCATAAACTTCGAAAACTAAAATTCGAGAAAGAGAGGAGAACCTATCGGCGATGTAATTGAGGAGCTTATCAGTACCAAAGTACCAAATATCGATCTCGACCAAGCCGCCTTGGCTGCGATCAACCGCGTGACGGCACATTTTCTCGAGGTCGTAATCGTATCTAAAGTCCCAGAGGTTGCGCATGTCAATTTTCCGCCACATCAAGGGGTCTTTGCAGACGTCACGCCACGATCTGCACACTTTCTGAGCGGTTTTCAGCATCTCAAACGCACCAAGCCGGTGCAGGATCTCCGACGTCAGTTCCGGCGGCAGCTCCGCCCAGTTTCTGTATTCTCCGTACGGCTTAGGAGGCGGAAAATCCATTCTTAGGATCAATTCGCTAAGATTATACATTTTATTTTGCACCCTAATTATAAAAAAAAACGCTAATAGTAGAGCGTAAAATAGTTTCAAGACTTAGGGTCTAGCGTTTTTCAAGATATTATATAGTTACGAAGCTAACTTGGGTTAAGCCGACATAAATGATATCTTGGACTTAGGCTCATAATGGAACTCTTTCTATAATTAACATATTCCGATACTGAAAAACCAAAAAAAAAGGCCACATCGCATCCTTATCGCGAGTTACTATTTTGCATTGTGTAGCCTTTTAAGTTTAACGTTTACAATGTTTTGAAAACGTGATTCTGCGATATTTTTTTATGTTTCTTCAAATTATTGTGCTATATACAATTTGTAACAACCCGACCTCTTAATGTCGGTTGTTAGACCACGTCCAACGCAGGGTTTATAGAGTTCATACGCAGAGTTCAAAGCATTATTTGGATTTTATTTAATCAGAGAGGTCCCACAATTTTCTTAAACCAGTTCTTAGAGTTTTTTGAACCCGTTTTTGAGAAGTTTTAGTGTGACGTGTGATCGTATAAATGGAGGAAGGAAATTTTTTTTTTTTTTGAGAAAACCTTTTGGTCTCTCTTTCCTCGACCACAACGAAGACTTCGACCAAATTTTTCTCTGCATCGTCTCTTCCAATTTTTCTCGCCAATCTCGTCCTCTCTAATACTTTCTTACCTTTCTGACCTTCTTTCTCTCTTTCCTCTCTCTTCGCAGCTGCATCTTCAAGTGAGTTTGATGAGGACGTGGAAGACGATGGAGAGAGCGATGACACGGTCCTCACCGACGAAGAAGACGAATAATTCCTCTGTTTCTTCAACCCCAAAAGCTCTTTCCAAAGAACTGTACATTTAGGAGGACGAGGAGATGGATCTTCGTCTATAAACCAACTCACTCTGTTATTATTATTATTTATTATGATTTTCTACCTATAATCTTTGGTGGAAGTCAGATTTGTGAGCAAATATTACTATAGACGTGTGGCTGATTGGTTTGTGTCTGTAAATTAAAGAGAAGAGTTCGAGCTAGTGGTGGACTTTGTGAAAGTAATAAAACCCCATTACAAATTCAGTGTTGGAAGCATAAAAAATGGAGAAGTTCTTAACTTCTCAACTTAAAAAACAATATTAATAAAAAATGGAAAAGAACCTCATTAGGAGGTTGAGGGTTGAACATGCTCTTAGTAATCCAAATCTCGGTTTAGGACTTGCTTGACATAGACTGTAGAAGCTTTAAAACTATTTTACAGTCTTAAAAGTCTTTTTTTAGTCCAACACACTTTTTTTTACTTTATTAATTTTAAAATTTTAAAAGCTAGATTTTTTATTTTTGTTCATGAAATCTAAAAGCTACGTAGAAGAAGCTTTTACTCCAAAAACTTATAAAAACTAATACATTTAATTTCTTTTACTATTTCTTCTTTCCCAGAATTATTCAAAAGATTTTGTAGATTTATATATAGATAATTATTAACTAAATTTAATTGATTAAATCTTATAATTTTTTTTGTTTTCTTTTGAAATCCATTTCATTAATTTTTTTTAAAAAAAATTTTCCTAGTTTTTTTATCATTTCTAAAAGTAACAATTAAATTTTTACAGTAAAAATTTTTAAAGTAAAATCTAATAATAACACTCTATGCCAAGCAGACCCTTAATTAAACAAAACCATCTTTTATTAAGCATATGTCTAATCTTAATCTCTTGCGAAACCCATAAAACCCAACCCAACTAAACTAAATCCTAACTATAAATACATCTCTAATCTCTCATTCTCCCTTTTATAAACCCTAGCCACATTCTTCTCCTCTCCTATTTTTTTCTCAGCCACGCCACTCTCTCTATCTCTCTCTCACTGTGGCTCTCTTCTTCTCTCTCTCCCTCGGCTGCCTTTTTCTTGTTCTTCTTTCTCTCTCGTCATCTTCACCCTAAACCCTAGCCGCCGTCACCTCCTTGCAAGACGATTTCTCGGCGATTAGTGAGGAGACATGCGACGAACAACCTATCGAATTGAAGCCTCGAAAGTCAGCTTTCTAAGAAAACCAATCTCATCTAGATCGGAAATCTGTGCCAGGAATTATCGTCGTTTTCGTGTTGGGTGTCAGATCTGCCCAAAGAGAAGGAAAAAGTGTATCTTCTTCTATAAAGGTATCTGTGAGGACTTCCTGCTTCACCCTCTCTTTCATACATGTCTATTTATAGTTAGCCTTTTCTTAAACTAGTGCTTAGATCTGTTTGCTAAGGTTTATAGAATTAATAGACTTGGATCCATGTTGATTGTTGTTGATGTTTGTTGGTTGCTGGTGGAATGATACATATTAATTTGAATATGGATCTGACTTATGGAATCCTAAAATAAACACCTTGTTTGATGACCTGCTATTCTTTAGAATTATGTTACACTCACCATGGAATGTGCATTTTAATAAAGGAAAGGATTATTATTAAGAATAATGGATTGATTGTTGTTAGTATTCTTGCTAGTATTCTTGGCCCATGGAAGGATGGGTTAGTGTTGTTTGTTGGCTGATCTGATGTCTGTGTGACCTTCAGCAGTCATTGTTGGTGGAGTGACGACCCACCGGACCTATCTGTGTGACTTGGTAATGTTGAACCTGTCTGTGTGAACTGGTTCCTGTCTGTATAACCTGGCGATGTAGAACCTGTTTGTGTGACCTGGCGGGATATTTGTCTGTGTGTCCACAACCTGTCTGTGTGACCTGGATATCCGAAGATGGTAGTTGGGTGTAGGAAATTCTGTGTTCGGTGAAGTGCTTGCTAAAATAGTTAATGGTATCTCTAGTATTATTTCTTGTGGTCTAGGCTTGTTTAGGATCAGATTCTCTATAAATAATTATGTATGTCATGATGGTGTTGTGGGCCTCCTAAGGCCCATATTCGCTGAGTAATCCCTATTACTCACCTTTCCTTTTCTCTATTACATTTTCAAGTAAAGGTAGATCATCTATGTCTAGCTTACCAAAAACCAAACTGGATGTCTTACCGAATGAGGTTTGACTATCGATCTAATATGCCCGATTTTTCCGTTTTTTTAGGGAGCTCGGATAAGGATGTTAGACAATTAGTATAATTTTCTAGAAAAAACAACAAAAAAAAGACAACAAAAAAAAAGGTTTGCAAAAGCAAAGGATACTCTTACAAAGGTTACATAAAGACAAGGAGACAAAAGTCCATTGAAACTACGAGCGAGCATGCTGAGAAGAATTTATGAAAAGGGATTTCACCAGCGAATCAGATGAATAAGTTCATCGTAAAACAATATTATACTGGTCGTAGTCAGAATTGTCACTGGCACCTGAGATGTCATAGTCATATCCATATCCATAATGTGATCTTTGATGAGTCTAGTCATTTGGTTGGCTCGCAACTTTGATCCTCTCGGAACACCACTTCTCCAGATCCCCATCAAAGTAAACGTTGAAACATTGGCGTAAATCAAGGTGTTCCAGGTTAGGACAATGGTCAAGAATGGCGGTTAAACCTGTCTCTGTCAATCTGTTCCTGAAAAGCTGGAGGTGACGAAGTCCGGACATTGTTTCGGCGATTGCAAAAGCATCATCATAAAAGTACTCGTAAGCCCCACGGTTTAGCTTCAATGTCTTTAGATTTGGACAAGACTTGCCTACAACTTTCATAGACTCTGCTGACAATTTGCAGTATGAAACCTCGAGTTCATCAAGCAATGGGAGTTTCTCAACTGCTTTGTCAAATCCATAGTCTGTTAGTTCTTCAGAGAAACTTGCAAGTTTAAGGCTTCTCAATTTCCTTGAACTGCAGATACTTGGCGTGTAAAAGTTAGAAACATTATATCAGCTAGAGCAGAAGAAGAACAATAAGCTGCAAGATATATATATTTTCCGAGCATCCCAATAACCATAAAGCCAACCATTTAGACCTCTCAGAACCCAACCAATATTCTTAATACTCAGAAACTGATTCAACAAATTAAACGGTAACTTGGAATGCAAACAACTTCCAAAAGTGCATTCATCAGAAGAGATCGATCCAGCCCAAAGAAAGAGAGTAAATACCAAAGCAAATCTATTCTAGCCCTAGAATTACATAGAAACTCAGAACTTGTAAAGATCTTTCATAACCAAAATCTGTTCTAGCCCTAGAATTATTAGCAAACCCCTGTTCTCTAAAAAATGATTCATAAATTCCCCTTGAAGAAAACCAAAAAAATTCGTGACAAAGTACCAAATCTCGATCTGAACCAACCCGCCCTGGCTACGACCAACTGCGTGACGGCACAATTTTCCCATTGTCCATATTTTTCAAGAATCGTAATCGTATCTCTCTGAGGTTTACCAACTCGATTTTCCGCCACATAGAGCGGTCTTTACAGACGTCACGCCACTATCTGCACACTCTCTGAGCGGTTTTCAGCATCTCAATCGTACCAAGCCGGTGCAGGATCAATGACGTCAATTCCGGCGGAAGCTCCGCCCAGCTTATATCTCCTCCCTCCTCCGTCGCCGGAGTCAAAGAGGATGACGACGACGGCGAAGAAAATGGAGAAGCCATTCTAGGGTTCAAATCGCTTAGAGTAACAATGTACGTTTCAAGATTTTCGAAAACCGGCTCTAATTTACAATTAGGTCGTCAAAGCATTATATAGTTTACAAAGCTAATTTGGGTCATGCCGACATAAATGATATCTTGAGCCTAAGCCCATAATAGAACTCATTCGATAATGAAAAAAAAAAAAGAAAAGCCTCATCGCATCTTTATACAATCAACGCACTCAAAAGCTTCAGAAAAGTTCAAAGGAAAGAGGAGACATGAACGAGTTCATAATTTGAAAAGACCATCAAAATCAAGTTAATGTCGTCTTCAAAATGGGTAATCATCGGTTGAGTCATTGGGACGTCTCAAAACTTTGATCCTCTCAAAACATCGCTTCTCTAGGTTCCCCACAAGGCTAACGTTGAAACATTGGCGTATATCAAGGTGTTGGAGATGAGGAAAACCGTCAAGAATGGCGTTTAAACCGTGTTCAGTTAGTTTGTTCCCCAAAAGCTGGAGGTGACGTGGTTTGGGCATGCTTTCGGCAATTACTAATGCATCACTATCCCATAATGAGGGAGAGTGCTCGTAACCTAAACAGTTTAGCTTCAATGTCTTTAGCTGTGGACAAGAACGGCCAATACCTCTCAGATAGTACAGCTTGAACCATGAGTGTGAGATCTCGAGCTCTTCAAGCAATGGAAGTTTTTTTTATTTGGTACAAAAGTCCACTGTTCATCATTGGATAGCGTATTGCTAGTCCAAGGCTTCTCAAATTACTTGATCTGCATGTAGTTGCGTGTAGCGTTAAATCATATAATTTAAAAAGCATGTAATAATCTTAAAAATCATAGTAGCTATATAGCTAGGTTTCTACTTTTCGATGAAGGAAAAAGAATAACATGTTATGAAATCTTCTCTCAAAACAGACAGAATTCAGACTTGTCTCCCCAAAAGCTTTCCAATGTAAAGATGACAAAAGTTCTCTCTGAAAGTCTAAAATATAAAAGGTATCGATGAAGAAGGCAGAAAACCTTTCTTAAACCTAAAAACACGTTTTGAGCATTTTTATAAATATTAAAGATTTCAGAGCTTCACAGAATCTCGTTTTTCCTTTTGTGGTCTTCGGTGTCGAGCGACACCGATACTAGTGTTGAGCGACACTCATGCACAGCTGAAATCATCTTTCACAAAAATCGATTCATTTAGCTCCAAAATGTTCCAAAGTCTCCAATTAAGCTCCAAACGTACCTAGGACCTGTAAAGACTCCAAAAGATTCGAAAAACACAAAAAAAATCTCCATAAATAAGACCTATATCATAATCAAAAACCATAAAAACCAGGATATATTTAGAGAGGCGATGCCACGATCTGCACACCAGCTGAACGCTTAACAGTATTTCTACGGCATCAAGCCGGAGCAGTATCGAAGACGTCAACTCCGACGGAAGCTCCAACCATTCGGCTTTCACAGTCAGAGACACGGAAGTAGACGACGACGGATAGGAGAAAACCATTACGTCTCTAATTTTACAATTTGGTGCTTCTACTAGTATTTAAGAAATTCAGGCTAAAATCTAGCAAGGCAATTGTTTTTAAAAATAGTAATTACAAAAACCGATGTCGTTTCACAATTAGGGTTAACCTTTATCAATTAAATCATAATCTTATAATCTACATGATCTTTCTAAACCGGACAAGATGGAAAACAAAACTTAGGAACATTACAAGAAAACAGGTGATTTCCAACGACCATATCCGTCGGAAATCCGTCTGGAAATGGCCTTTCCGACGAATTTTCGACAAAATATGGTGGTCGGAATCATCTCGTCGGAAAAAACAAAATGGTCGAAAATCGGTCGGAAATTTCCGACTGATTTCCGACGGACTAAACTTTCCGACGGATTTCTGACGAGCTTAACTTTTCTGACCAAACTCCGAGGGACGTGGTATTTCCGACCCTTTTCCGACGGCTCCACGATTTCCGACGAACTTCCGACAACTATACAAATTTGTCAATTACCGACGGATTCCCGATGGATTTAGTTTTCCGACGGAAAATCGAGAGATATAGAATTCGATAATTTCCGACGGATTTCCGACGGAATATTTTTATTTATTTTCCGACCGATTTCCGACCACTCCTGTATTTTAATAAAAAAAAAATTATTTATAATAATTTTTAAATTTATATATATAATTAAAATGCTAAATTAAAATTAAATTCGAAAGTCATTTTTATAAATAAATACTAATAATTAAACAAAATCCAATATATACAATATATCTAACAAATCTAATAATTTTACTAGATAATATGTTACAATTCTAATTTTAAAATCTAACATAGAAAAATCTAATAATTTGCTTATAACAATCCTAACAAATAAATTTAAGAATTCTAATCTAGCATAATTTCTAACAAATAACAAAACTAATTTTTTCTTAAAATTCTAACAAAATCCAGAATAAATTCTACTTAAATTCTAACAAATTCTAACATAAAACAACCTAATTCACAAAACTAACAATTCCTATAATTCATCCTAAAATTCATCTTAACAATCATCTAATTTTGTTTTGGATATTCAAAACTAACAAACAATGAAAAAAACTTACAATTTTCAGGCTGATGAAGCAGATCTACGGCTATGGAAGCTTGGCGGGTCGACGGCGGCGGCGGTGGCTTCAGATCTGGCGGCGGTGGTGGTGGACTTCAGCCTGCAAAAATAAAAACCAAAAAGAGAAGCTGAGGAGAAGATAAGAAGGTGAGGAGATGCAAATCAATACCTGAGAGCTTGAGTAGCAGATCGGCGGCGAGAAGTACCAGATCTGGGATGAATTCTGGCAGTGCCGAGCAGAAGAGCAAGAAGAAAAATGGAGAAGGAAGAAGAAGAATAGAAAGGGAGAAGAAGAATCGTGTGTAGTAAATAAAAAGAGGGGTGGTCCGTAATCGGTGGGGAATCATTAAGACTTCCGTCGGGATGCGGTCGAAAATAATTAAAAATTTTGGAAAATTTTACGCGGTTCGGTTTACGCGGTTTTATTTCGCGGGTAATTTTCGGAATCCGTCGGAAATCCATCAGCACTCCTGACGGATTTCCGACGGACAATTAAAAAAACCTTATTTTTTCTTCACTCTCGCCATGTATATACATGTAAATTAAATTCTATACACTTAGAAAAATTTGGGAAATTTAAAAGTCCATTAGAAATCTGTCGGAAATTTCCGACGGATTTCCGACGGACTATGGAAATAAGATAATTTTTTTAAATCAACATAGTTATACATCAATTTTTGTAAATTATGATTTTGAAATCTACTAATAACAAACATATAAACATCATATATATATATAAAATACATCAATATGTTCATATGGATCTATAATTCTTTATACACTTAGGAAAATTTGGGAAATTCACAAAGCCCGTCAGAAATCGGTTGGTAAATTCCGACCGATTTCCGATGTACTATGATAATATGATGATTTTTTTTAAATAAAAAAATCATCATAGTAATACATTATACTTTGTAAATTAAAATTTTGAAATCTACTAATGACAAACATATAAAATACATCAAATTTTTGTTCAAATTTGGAACATTTATATATTCCGTCGGAAATCGGTTGGAAATTTCCGACCGATATCTGACGGATTAAAGATTAGGGCATAAAAAATTGCAAAAATTAATGAGATTAGTCTTTACAATAGATGATTAGATTCATATAACAACATTTCCCTTACAAATCAACATAAAACAAAAGTTATGATGAATTTTGAAATCTACTAATGAGCAACATATAACTTTCTTAAAGATATATAGAACTTAAAGTTATGTTTTAGGGTTTGATATATATTTTTGGTTAAATGATGAAAATAATCTAATTTTGAGATAAAATAACATATAACTCAATTATAATAGCTAATATCATCATAACAACCATAATTGTCAAAACAAAATTCAATTTCGATGTTTCTGAACCCTTATTCGTCGCATTTCCGTCGGAAATTCCTGATGGATTTCCGACCATTTTAAAAAACACATGTAAAAATCGATTTAAGCACGTGTTTTTATCATTTCCGACGGAAATCTGATAGAATATCTATCTAACGGTCAGAAATCCATTGGAAATCTCCAACGGAATTCCGACGGATGATTGTTTAATGTTTAGAGTTTGGGAATTATTATTATTATTGTTAAAATAGTGATCATATTTATTATTAAAAATTATAAAAACATATAATCTCAATATATAATGATATAGTTCTATTTTTTCTTTTTGGTAAAATGGTGCAAAATTATATTTGACTAAAGAATGCATACATTAGTATTTTAAAATCTTGAAAACATAATAAAATTACATTTTTCATAATAATATAAATAGTATTACAAATTCATCGGAAGAATATTCTGAACTCTCGTCAAATTCGCCAATCTCTGATTCCAAATTGTCAAAAGTTTAATTATTTTTATTATATTCGTCGGAAATCCGTCGGAAATATTATCAAAGTTTCGACGACTTTCCGACGGAGTTTTCAAAATCGACAATTTAAAGATCCGTTGAAAATCTGTCGGAAATTTGATTAAATTTCTAACGGATTTCCGACAGAAATAATTTAAAAATAAATAAATTTTTGATTATTTTTATTACTTCCGTCGGAAAAATAATCAAATCTCCAACTATTTAAGTATCGGTCGGAAATTCGTCAGAAATTCCAACCGATTTCCGATGACATCTGAACCGTCGGTTATTTTAAGTTTTTGGTTGGGATTCCGTAGGAAATTTCCGACGGCAAAAAAACCGTTGGAAATACCGTCAGAAATCATGATGTTTTCTTGTAGTGGAACTAACAAGAATTACCGAGCACCAACCTCATGAAGATTCTGGTTTAAAATGTACACAATCATAATTCATATCTAATCATCTTTCTCCTGGCTTTCTTATATTTTTTTTTATTCGTAGTAAATTGTCGACCTAGAACACAATAATATAGTGGTTTCTGGCTTTCTTTTCGGACAAAGCGGTCTTTCTTAAAAGAGATCGTGACTTGGGTTGCAAGACATATGTTATTCTCGAAAACTAACTTATGTTAAGGCGATAATTAACTGACCCACTGTAAAAAAAAAAGAAAAGGAAAAAGCTCATCGTTGTTGAAAATTCTAACATGCAAGGCATACATTCTTAAGTAAGAGTAATATCCAAAAGTGCATTCATGCATGTGAATGTGACAAACAAAATAATCCAAAAAAAAAAATGTTTGCCCTATATCCTCATGAGGAAAGGGAACAAAGTTGTTAAGATAGAGAGAACCTGTCGGCGATGTAGGTGAGGAGAGAATCGCTACCAAAGTCTCCAATGTTGATTTCAACCAAGCCGCCCTCGCTGCGATCGATGGCGTGGCGGCACATGCTCTCAAAGTCGTAATAAAAGCTTCTGCCATTTCCAAGGTTTCGCATGTCGATTTTCCGCCACATGGAGGGATCCTTTGAAACGCGGCGCCACGGCATGCACACTTTCTGAGCGCTTTCCAGTATCTCAAAAGCCCCAAGACGAAGCAGAATCGAAGCCGTCAACTCCGGCGGAAGCTCCGCCCAGTTTCTTGGCTCTTCGTCTTTCGTCTGCGTAGGTGAAGAAGACGAAGAGGCCATATCTTGAGACTTGAAGAGTAAATGTCAAAACTCTTTGACAAATAAGTGTGAAATATATAGTAGTACAAGTGAAGTAGTTTCGAACTTTTCGGCTTCCCTCTCTAATTTACAGTTTAGTCCTCTTATTATATTTAGCCCAATAACTAATTAACTTTTGGTTTTAGATCCATATTTCGATAATTGAAGTAAAAGCTTCCCAATTCAAGAAAAGAGCTAATTAATATATCGCACAAATTGCAAGTTACAAAGCTCTACAACCACGCGCTAAAATTTGGTGGATTTTTCAAGGGCAGCCTAGGCACGTGGCTTTTGCTTATCAATCAAATTCAAACCCTTTCAGAACTTGAATAGTACAGTATATGTATACTTTTTAACAAACGTGATTCCATCAAATACATAAAACGTTTTTTACCCAAAAAAACGCTTTCAAATTGGAAAAACCGAACCGAACCCGATCGATATATAACCATATGGTTGAAAAATTTTGGTTCATATTCGGTGTTTAATTTCGTTTTAGATAGAAAAAAAAAAAAAAGAGCGTGAAATGAGGCAAGACAAAAGATAAATTTAGTTGAAAAAAAACGCCGAGCCAAAAGGGTCAAATTAAACAAAATGATTGTCCACTAATTACGCCATACAACAACAACCATAATCTGTTATTGTCCAAACTTCCAACATCTTCCTTGTTCATCAATTTTTGTCTGAATGTTTCTCTCCATACGGCGATTTTGAACGGAGAATAATGAGCCGGCTCCGAGCATTTTCTTCGCCGGATTTAGTCCCCTCAGATTCTGGATCTATTATATCACCAACAAGAACAACAGAGCATAATTCTCATGAAGATTCTGGTTTAGAAGGTAAATCAATCATATTAATGTGATAATCTTCTTTCTACTGATCTTCCCCTGATCTGGTTTACGTTAATAAAAGATTTGATTTCCAGAGTTTATCCTTTTCCGTTTTGTTACTTGCGAGGCAAGAAATATGTTATAAATGTTCTTGCTTCTATGTGAAGGCATCACGACGAACGTGAAGCTATTGCTGAAACTCGTTCAAGATCACAACGAAGCAACCTCGAAGCAACGCGATGAATGGAAGGCGCAGAGAGTCAACACGATGATGACGATTCTCGACGATTTAAAGACAAGAATCCAGAAAGCTCAACAACAATCATCATCAGGGAAAAAAGAGCTTAGACGATGCAACACAGATCTGAAACCGAGACATGATCCGAGCAAGAATCCCATAAAGCCTCCACAGAGCGATCCTGATGATATGCAGAAGCTGCGAAGAGAGCTAAGCGCGAGTATGGCTGCAAGAAAGAGTCTTCAAATGATGTGTTCAAGTTTAGGGAAGGAGAAAGAGATAATGGCTATAGAGCTTTCGAGGAAAGCTCACGAATTGACCGGAATGGAGGAGCTTATAAGTGATCTCAGGGCTCAAAATGAGAAATTGCTCAAGAAAGTGCAGAATTGCGCAGTAGAACACAATAAGGAGAAGAAAGGAGATGGTGATGGCCATGGAGGCAAAGATGTGTCTCTTCAGGGAAGAAACAAAGAGTTGTCTGAACAGCTTCTCAAGTCTATTGACGGATACCGATCTCTGAAAAGGAGATACAAAGATGTTCAAGAGGAAAATGGTTCGATGAGACAAGTGCTTAGAGATTCTGCAGAAGAAGTGAATGTTGGGACTCAGAGACTAACTGAATTGCATGAGAAGATCGCAAGAGAAAATGCAGTCAATCTTGAGAATGAAATTTCATATTTAGAGAAGTTGTTTCAAGGGCTTGGTTTAAAGATTTCGAACCATTCCCATAAAAAGTAAAGAAACAGAGATATCATTTTTGTAATTCAATACAGATTTTGAAAATTTTGTCACTAACAAGAATTCTGAGACTAGCTAGTGGCTCCTTTTTTGTAACTTTGGGATTTAGCAATTTGCTCATAGGTTTATTGGAAGTCTTAATCCATCGTGAGCAAGCTGTACATGGATTCCTTCCCTAGAAATGTACATATATAGTCCATTAGCTTTCAGCAATGTGGATTTACCAAAAATGATGCAACATTGTTTAATTGCATACCTTAGAGACCATTCCGCAAGCATCTCATTGTATTCATGGTGATCATAATCGTGTGTCATACCCGTTAAAAAGGCTCTCTTTGGAGAGAGCCTCTTTAAGATCTCAAGAGCCTAAAGAAGTAAAGTGAAACTTAAATCTTCAAAAAGGCTCAGAATAGTGTAACATTATTTGACACATGAAGAAATACATTGAAACACAAACCTCAGGAAAACAGATGTGTGTGGGCTGTAGTCCTCTCTATGGTCAAAGAGATGGTCAGCAACAAAAGTTTTCATGAACAAAAAGTGGAAAACAAAAGTTACAAAATTATATAACCTTAAATGGTATATTTGTATCCAGTATAAGAAGATCTAACTGTCCAGCACCGGCTTTAGAAATAGCTGCATAGTCAAAGGTTCATAACAAGATCAAATCTTTCGCTTTAGCAGATCCAAATACAGGTTATGATACACGATGCTTAAACTTGTGATTTCAAATGATATAGGCGAAAAACGTTATGAGCTCTTTACCATACTCAGTACTAGGTGGGATGCGTGATACATCTGATATATAAGCCACTTTACTTTTTTCGCCAAAAAGGAAACCTAAAGCAATGTAATCCTCTCCATGCATCACCTAAAAAGCAAAACACAGAGCCTAAAGGGATTAAGGTCTCAGGGAAGAAGCAGAGTGTTTTTATTTATTTACTCAAAATTCGGAAGAGGTTTAACTGGTAGAGGCGTGAAAGATAAGCCAGAGGCAATGAATGGTTTGTCACAATTCTCTTCGATGACGCTCCAGTCAAGCTGTGAAACCCGCCTAGGTACTGCTTTAACCTTCTTTTCAACCAAATAAGGAAACCTCGTAGAAATGCTGCACAAAACCGGCTTCAAGTCTCATCAGAGAACAATAATTGAAAAACTGAAAAACCAAAAGTTTTTACCTTTTCATTGTAAATTGAGAGAGAAAGACGGGAAGAGGATTGGTGTCAATGGCTGAACCGCGCGGTTGAATAGATCGAATATCATCTAGGCCAAGAATTGCGTCCGCGTGCTCATGAGTTAGAATGATCTGCAAAAATAAATCATAGAGTATCATGAATCAGTAAAAGTTAGATTTCATTTTCTTGACAAGAAAGATGGTAAGAAATCAAGAAGATAAAATATAAAAGGTCTTAACAGAATCGATCCGGGGAATCTTGTAGCAGGTAAACCAACGAAGCACTTGCTCTCTAAAACTCTTCCCAACATCAATAAGTATGTAATAATGTCTCCCATCTTCTTCCTCGCAGCAATAATCGATCAAGAGCGATGTATTGCATCTGCCAAAAATCAGAGCATCAAGAATCAAGAATGGATCAAAGAAGATCAAAAGAGGTTTGTTAGAGCCATCAATTGAATCTTTCTATCATCTAAACTCCACTTTTTCTGGAACAAATCTGCCGAGAAGAACCGTAGAAACTGGTTTTTACATCATTTACCTAAAATCGACTAACACTCTTAATAACAAGAAGATAAAAGACAAGATTTTTCGAACAGACAGTACAAAAGCTGGCTCTTTTCTCAATCGAGTAATCCCAATTTCAAAAGGGTCTGTACGGACAACAAGAAGATTTTTACATTTCACAATCTCCACAGCAGCAGAAAGATATCGCTGTCGGAAAGAGACAGAATTTACCTGTAATTAGGGTTAAGGTGAGGTAGTAAAGAGAGGGACTGAGAACAGACATGGCAAGGAGGATCCGACGGCTGGAGTAAGCATCTGAAATCGGGAACTGCGCCGGAGCAGCCTGTTCCCAGAAAGATCAGAGCTGTTCGATCATCATTAAACTCATTTTTCTCCATCATCAAGACCGCGATCTTCTGGTCTAGCCAAAGTTGACTTAAAAGCCAACGGCTATATGTTTGTTTATTGTATTTGTTGAGAATTGAGATCCTCTGAGACAGAGGAACAAAGAAACAAAGTTGTTGTCTTTTTCTTTTAGTTTTTCAATTAGTTTTGTTTTTAATTAGAAAAAAAATAAAGTATAAATACCCGTTCATGTGAATTGTGAGCATATTCATAATCAATAATAGTTCAATGTATTATTAATAACATATATAGTTTTTAGTTATATACTGTACTATATATATATATTGTTATCAACACAAGATTTTAGTTTTGGTTATAAATTTGACATTTGTATCAATTAAAATCCACTATTTTTTTTTCAAATTTCATCAAGATTTAGTAGTTTTAATTGTCTTGGTTCATTTTAGCTATTTTCCCAATTTCCAAACAAAGATTTTTATAAATTAACAATTTTGATTTTTTTTTTGTCAATGAGTTTATTTGAACAAAATAAACTTATTCTCTTTCAGTAGTTGATAAACATCGATCTGTCAATAACTCAATATCATAAAAGAAAATGGTTAGTTTACCATATATTTTTATTAGGGAGAATCGGTAATATCAATCTTTTGGAACAAAATGAAAAGACTAGTGAGTGGAGATAGAACAAAATTAAAGTAGTGACAATGAGATTACTTAATGTGTTTTTAACGTAAGGTAGGGGATGATCAAAAACTTATGTTTAATGGTGAAATAACCCCAAAAGGATGGGATCAAAAATCTTTGATGTCAAGTCATTTCAGCTTCTAAATCTCTAGGCTCTTGCCTTTTAAAGTTCAAATTAGATTCTAACTTCGTGCATCCGCATGGGAATATTTTTTATTATTTAACGAATTTTGTAATATAATTTGTGTTTTTGAATTTAGATATAATTATTTTTATAAATATATTCTTTAATAAGTGAAAATATTGATTTTTATGTTTAAATATATTTTTATAGTATTAAAATTAATTATGATTATAAAAATAATATTTTAACCCATCCGCTAATATTAATTCAAAATGAACTATTATAAAAACATAATTCTAATTTTTCCGTTCATATTACCGTATAATATAAATATTTGTTAAAATTTTGAGATGTATTAACAGTATTATTTAGCATTATAGTTTTCTAAAATTTAATCAACGAAGGGAGTGTACAACTGGTTTTTCAAACCACATTATAGTGTATGTAATAATTTTTAATTTTTTATGTTTTGATTTTGTATGAAAAATATATTTTCGATATACATGTATAATTCAAAATTAGTGATATTAGTTACCAAAATATTTTTAACCCGGTTTTTTATATATATTTTTAGTTCTATGAATTTTAAAAAATATATTTTTAATATTTAAATTATCCATTTAAATTTTATCTATTATTTTATTATTAATTTGTAAATAAATCATAATCATAAATATATTATATAAACAACATAAATATCATATCATTTACATCATTATAAATATTTTATATTTCAAATATGACCATTATTTTTCATATGTGAATTTTTTTTTCAAAAATTCTAGATATTTTTGATAAAAATGTTTAATAATATAGAAATTATTTAAATTAGAATCTTTAAATCAAATCTAAATTAATATCTGATTTATTATTTTTAATTAAATTAAATCAAATCTAAATTACCTATATTTAAGGAATTCTAAAAATATATAAATTAATAACTAATTTTCGAAATTAAATATAAATAATTATTAAAATTATTTTTAAACACTTAAAAAAAAATAGGAGTGTTTGGAAGCAAGTAGTAAATGTGCTTCTGTTTTAATATAATAGATTTTATCTCTCTTCATATTGCAAATCAACAATGGACAATAACTTGGTAAGCAATTAGTCACTTTGTGTCTTTAAGCCAGATTAACTATTGATTAATTACATTGTGATGTTGCCGCAATTAATGCTGATTTTCTATCTTGAAGCACAGAAGTCTAAATTAAGTGTATCCAGAATTAAATTTTAAGGGGTGCAGACATATTAAAGAAAAATAAAAAAACTAATGTTATTTTAGGACTCGAACTCAGGTAAGAAGTGTGAAGCATAAGCTTATGAACCAAATAAGCTGTGAAACCTTTTAACACCCTTACCAAAACTAAGAATATATAAATTTAAAGGGTGTCATATGAACCCCTATGCTTCAACGTAGGTCTGCCTCTGGGTGTATCACTTGTTGGCAATTGCATTAGGCTCAAAAGCAACAACATTCTCATACGAGATCATTAGCGTTTATTAAATGTATAGTAATAAGAGCCACATATGTAAAAGAAATGTTGATTGTGAAATATAATCAGATAATTTGTTCAGAAACATATAAAAAATTAAACTGTTCAAAATTTCAGTTATTTTAGATCATGAATGGTAAGCTACTTAGAGCACCTCCAACAGTAAATCTTTCTCTTGGAATTGTTAAGAATATTTGATGTTTTGGAAAAAAATTAGAGTTTAACTAAACAAATAAAATAAAATATGGCTAATCACAAACGATCACGTCGCTTAACAAACTCCACACAATTGGGATGTTAGCTAATAATCGGTTGTTAAGTTTTGGGTCATTTCTTATTTATTTTTAAACCCAAATCCATATGTTTTTGTGCTATGAACCTGTTATAAGCTTCTGATGGATGTGCTCTTATGTCAAGCTACCAAAGATAAAGGCAAGTATGTCTCTAGTTTAATGCTTTGCTTGTTTAGTTTCTTGTATAGTTCGATTATCAATTTATCATGTTGGTTTGAAATCTTGTTCATATTTTACACTGAAAGAAATTCACAAATGTTGAGATAAAGCACCGGTGGATTCTTTCCTTCTTCTTTTTCTTCTTTTGACTCTATTAAAGAAGAAAAGTTGTTAAAAATAGTTATTTTTAATTTTTCTATATAACATAAACATTTCATATCATTTTCGTGGAAAGTGGCAAACCAATGTTTCGTCGTTTTCTCATAAACTCATATTTTATTTTTAAAAAAAATCTAAAAGAATTGAAATTGAAAATGCATTTCGTCGCTCGTCTACTCTCCGCTCTCCACTAAATAAACATGGAAATAAAAACAAGAATAAAAATACATTTCGTCGATCTTTCCACAATCCCCTTTTATATTTCCACAGAACAACATTAAAGCGCGTGTGATCACTACCACGAGATTGCCAGCTAGAAAACAAAACCATAGTGACTCATACACAACACGCGCTAGGGTTGGAGAGTGAGGATTCACAGAAACTGCTCACCAAGAAAAAAAAAAAAAAAAAAAGACTTTCTTTCTAGAGTACCAAATTCTCTTCTTCTCTGCTCCAAGACGAATCTAAACATTCTTTGGAAGATATTCGATCGACAAGAAAATTAAAACTTCGAGCTTCCAATGGCAGATCCGTCAGAAACTCCAAGATCGTATCTTATCTTCATCAGAATCATGAGTAAAAGACGGACATGGGTTTGTCTCTTCGTCGCCGTCTACGCAATTCTTTTGTCTTCTTCATGGAACCTCTTGACATCAGTTCTCAACTGGTACAAGCTCCAATACACATCTTCATCATCATCGTCTTCTGATTCTTCTCCGTCTAGATTTCCGGCGGTATACGCGTCGGTGATTCTTGGTGCGGTGTTTGGAGTTATGTCGATGGTGGCGGCGACGGCGGTGGCTGTACCGGCGGTGATGGTGATTTGGATATCGGTGGTGGTTCTACTTGCGTTTTTTGGGAAACCAAGGAGAGTTTTGGTGATTGAAGGAAGAAAGATTACGAGAGAAGTTGTTGGATTTGTGTTTAAGGTTCTTTTGAAAGAAGGCAATGTTGTTGCTGCTTTTTGTGCTGTCTTGGCTTATTTTCTCCTTATTAGAAGAGATTTTGATTCAAATTTAGGGTTCTTGGAATTTTTTTAGATTTTTTTTATGAACTTTTGACATTTTTTTTTTCTGTTCTCTAACATAAAGTTGTCACTCCCGAGTGTAAAATGTAAATTTAATATTTTACAAGAAGGATTGTTTTAGTAGAAAGAAGAAGTTCCATGATAAGTTGGCTCAAATTTTTTTTTTTTTTTTTTTTTTGAGATATAATATCTTGATGATAGCTCTAGAATCGACCGTCCAAATTTGAGATATTTGGAAGTCATTAATCGTTTATACACACTTGTGGGTGCACTCGCCACAAAATTTCAACACATGGACGAATTGATTGGCAATTTTGCATTTTTATGTTTGGGGATCAACAAAACTCCAACATTTGGTTTAGCCTGTCAGGACCATATGGTTGTTGGGTATTAAAAGTTACTCGATTATTATCGATTTTATTATTTGTAAGCGATTGGAGTTATTGCATCATACTAATTTTAACACTAACAAAAATTATAATACTAAGATACCTTCATATCCTTTTTCAAGGAAAAAAAAGAAGAAAAAGTGAAAATTGTATATAGTCTCAGAATACAGTTTCCATATAAATGATATGAATATCGGCTAAAATAATTACATTGTCTAGAGAAATTGAACGAATACATTAAACAAACCTTTTTTTTTTTGAAGCGAACTAGTGTTTTTTTTTTTTTCCTGGATGAAAAATTAGTAGTAAGAATTTTGTGTATTGTTTTTTGGTTTTTCTACTGCGGTTTAAAACACACACCATACCACATGGTTCTCCTATCTCTTAACGCGCAGGCCTCAAAACCAAAGCTAATTAAGGTACAAATTGGGTTGCTCTTAGCCAGTTTTATATTTGCTCTGTCCAGCTCAAACTGTTTATACATTTTTGTCATAGATGCTTATTGGCTTCAAACAAATGCATGATATGGTGCCTCACATAAAAAACATGTACATATTATACATTATGAATTATTACCCATCGCAATCAAATGTTTCCAGCTACCTTTTATGGTACGAATTAACAATTAAAGTGCGTATTCCTTTCATTTGAATTTGTAAATCTCTCTTTATGTCCATTGGAACGTTTATAGAAGGCTATTGCTCGCTTGACTTGCTGACTTGTTTTTTTGTGTGTGTTTAGTTTGCCTGGAACTGGGATTTGTGGAGTCAGAAGGTGGACGTGGCAAAGGAAAATCATCTGAAGTCCGGTGATTGGGATTTTAATGATCAAGTGGTTGTAGCATTTCAACTTAAACTTGTTGTCATGATTACTAGCAATCAACCAATATGTTATTTGATGGAATCTTTTCGGAGTACCGTCTTCTACCAGGATATGCTTTTTCACTCCTTTGAGACAAGTATTAGCTTTGTTTCACCATGTCTATTAATTTGGTTTTTCTTGATTCTCGTCTTTTCGGTGTTGCTTTTGATCATTCCAAAGTTTTGTCAATAGTGTACAATATTTGAGGGAGTGTTTCAATTTTTAAAAGGGTATCTTATAGTTTTTTTTTTTAATTATCAAGAGAATTTAAACCAAAAAAATCATAATTTTTAAACCCGAAACTACAACATGTAATATTAATTAGTTCCGTCCATGCCCATTTTTGACTTTTGGTGCCTGTGAGGAGCATCCCAAAGATGAGAGGTTTTCAAAGTTCCATGAGAGGTTTTAATCGAACGCATGGTGAGAGGTTTAAGAGGTATCATGAAAAGTTTCATGAACCGTTCTTGACCATTTTGGAGAGATTGGTGGACATTGTGGTATTTACGATCCTGTTTGAGAAGTTCAAAAATCGATTTAAGGATGCCACAAAAGATGAACTAAAGAATCAGTTTGAGCAAATGAAGTTGGATTTCAGTGCGCATCAAAAGTTGGTTCATCAAAAGCTGGATAATTAATGTACCATGTAACATGCAATGTTGGATGATGAGATTATCCTTGTTGTAAGATGATTATAAAAGATGAATAAAAACAGTTGAATCGCATGTATCTAGATAAAAAAATAGTTTTTGTTGTAATACTAAAATTCTAATCTAGAAATTACATTGACGTTGAATAATAAGATCATGGAAAAGCCATGAAGTTGTCTAACTATGACCAAATGGCTACACATAGTCATCAAATGAAAAGTTAATGGAAGAAAAGATACCATACAATGGCTTTTGTGTTCATTATTTGTGCAAAAATAACATTCCATTTACATATTGTGTTCTTGTTTCATGCTTAATCATTTTAAAAAGGGTTTATGTTTATAAAAAATAGAACCAAAAATTGTTGAAATGTAGTCCATATCCACCAAATTGATGAGCGCTTGAATGGATAAAGATAATTCGAATGGAATTATCTCTACCATTTTCAGAAGAGCTTTGTATTGCCTGATAACAGAAATTGCCCAGCATATATCTAGACATGAAAGAAATGTGAGATAACTTATTAAAGCCTAATAGAATCATTTGTTTCATGCTTAATCATATTGTGTTCTTGTTTCATGCTTAATATTAGGTTTTAATAGGTTATACTAATTTTTTAAAATTCATTGGGACAAATGAGCTGACTCAGTATATGTGGCTCCGCCACTGGTTCTATTGGTGGATGTGGCTAAGGCAGCCTTCCCTTTAGTCATTTTTTTTTCACGTGTTGGACTTTCTTGAACTGAAAACATTTGTTTTCATCCGAACTCGCTATGACAAGCTAACATCTGAGAGGAAACCACCAATCACTCTTGATAATCTTGCATCGTTGGCCATTGTTGGTATTGGACTAGTTGTATTTTCTGAGGCAGTTGGAATCGATATTCCAGCTCTTTTAAAACGGTGTGGAATTGGAGGTAAGTTTATTGTTTTTAAGTTCTTTTTAGTTTGGTATTTAAGTTCTTTTTTTAGTTTGATTAAACAACAAATCATCATTTCAGGAATCATAGGAGGGCTGCCTGCAAAAGACGTCATTTGTGGAATTCTCTAAGGTTATATATTTATTATATTAAAACAGAAGCATTTTTAGTGTGTGTTTCCAAACGCATCTAAATTTTTTTAAAATATTTTATTTTATATTATATTAAATTTCGAAAATTGGTTAAATATTGTTAGATTTCCTTAAATATAAGTTATATTTAATTTAAATTTCAAATTATTCAAAAATATTTAATTAATTTTAATTACGAAAATTTAGATTCATAAATAAATTTATTACAAAAATTTAGATTATAATTTTAGTTACTTGAGAATTCTTTGAATACAAATTAGATTTAATTTAAAATTTTTGATTTAAATAAAATTTTCATTATAACACAATTGGTAAATGAATATCTTATTTTATTTTATCATAATCAATCAATCTAAAGTATAAAATATTCAATATTGATAAAAATTTATATTATACAATAATATGATGGAGCAAGTTACAGTTATGTATTTATAATTACAGTCTTATTCAGATTAGTTTGTCAAATCATGTAAAATAAAAAAAATAATTTCAGATAATTAAATGGACCGGTTAGCCAATTCATAGATATGTAGATTGTTTATGTGTAAATCTAAATTTACATAATAACAAAGTTCATAATTAACATTAGATCAATATATATTTAATTAACTCATATCCTTATTCTACTAATATAGAAATTTATACTATTCAAAGTTAAAACATGATAAAAAAAATTTTGATTTAAAAAAAGTAAATAATAAAATGATATTCTATTAAAAAATTTTATATAAAAAATAAAAATAAAAAATTCCGCACATGGTTAAAATCTAGTTGCAAGATTAATAATTCAGCACAAATTCATTTCATTATTCCCGGCTTCTTTTTATCAAGCAATCTTATTAAGCACACCTTAAGGCTTTGTTAAGTGACCTTCTCAATGATTGAGATTTTTTTGTACGTATCAGTGCATTTCCATGAAATCCATTGGCTAAAATAACTTCTTGTGTCTTCCAACCCTGGATAATAAACAATTTTTGGAATGAGATTTTCAGTCTTTGTAACATCAATAGGTTGATATATCTCACATCACAAAACCATCACTGAGTAGCTTGGACACCAAGATCCATTTCAAGAAATCCAAAACAAGAAGCATGAAAGACAGACAATATAATCATCAAATTAGACTTAACTAAAGCAGAAAAGTCGTTTAGATTACATATCATGATCTTGCTTGGGACTAGGCCTGCAAAAGATAGGATAAGACTTGCGTTTTAATTTCTTCGCAACCTTGGCTTGATACTCCACAAGAGTAGCTTCTTCCTCCTCAGACTCTCTCGCCATAAAAGTGATGTACGACGTCCATGTACCACAAAAAGACTCCGTCACTCTCACAATATGATCCAACTTCACATCCGTTTCCTAAAAGAAAAAAAAAACATATACCATGAAATTGACCAAACAAAATATGTATCCTTAATTGCAATAATTAAAAAGGGAATTAATTACATTTAAGGCATTGTATTTGCGAAGAGACAATCTGGCCATGTCTTGTGCGTATTGAAGCTGAGTCCTTCCTCTAACCGGAGAATGTTCACTGTCCAGAGGATTAAGTACGATTGAGCCACTCCATAAGACACGTGGACGAATCCCTTCTTCCACAAGAAAACCCTAAATCAATTTCACCACAAATTAAATATCATTTTGAAAAGGAAAAAAAAACTGAATTTTGAATCTAACTATATATATGAATATATTCAAACATGGCTAAAGTGGAGATTCCGTCGATAAAGACGGGCTTTTCGTTCATCTTCCTCGTCGGTGTAAGAGTCTTCATCAGGTGAACAATATTCGCTTTCATCGAAGCTATCCACTCCCCATTCTGGTTGATCGTCTGTTGAATCTCCGTCGTCCACTATGCTATCTCCGTCGTTTTCTTCTTCCTTTTCTTCCTCTTCTTCGTCCTCTCCGTCGCTTTCGTCTGAGTTTTGATTGCAGTCGGAGGAATCATCTTCCTCTGAATTAGAGTCGGATTTGTCCTTTTTCAGAGAGGAAGAGACAGAAGATTCGTCAGTAGTTGTCTCTATGGGATCCGTTGCGGAAGTAATTTCCGCCGTCTCCGCCTCTGTCTTGCTTGATGCGGAAGCCATGATTGGGAGATGCAGAAGCCCTAGATTTTTGCCTAAGCCAAATATTTTTTTGCGATTAACTGTTGCTAGTATTTAGTTATTTATTTTATATTTGTAGGCCCTTGAATTTTTCTCCTTTATTTTATTTAATAAAAAAAGAGTACTAATATGGAGGTCTAAAAATACAATTTATAAGAAACATCATTTACAAAGACTAATCTATTATATAAAGACTCAGTAAAGCCTCACAAGTTTGACATATAAAACATCTCTACTTAAAACACATCATCAGCCACCTCATTTCTTTTAAAAAAAATTAAAACATAAAATACGATTTTCTTTTTTTTGGTCGAAAAAAATACGATTTTTTTATTCCTTTTTTTCCTTCGTCATTTTCGTCATTCACATGAGAAAAAAAAAAGTTGAATATAAAGGATCAGATCTCAAACTAAAGGATCACCGGTAGATGGAGAGCCGTTTGGTTCATAATCGGTAAAGCAAACAAATGAGATCGCTAGCTGCTCTGTTTCTTAATTTTTTCTCCAATTTTTTTTTTCTGAATTTCTTAGTATATTTGCAGCTGTGGAGGTTGTGGAGAGGTTCGCTTATTATGGAATCGCATCAAACCTGATTAGCTACTTGACTGGACCTCTTCGTCAATCTACAGCCGTCGCCGCCGCTAACGTGGTCGGGAATCTCTTGTCTTCTTCCTGTTCTGGGTGCTTTCGTCGCCGACGCTTTCTCGGTCGTTAAACAATCATCATCGCGTCTCTTATCTACGTATTGGCTGGTCTCCTATTGTCTCTTCTCATTTCAATTTCGATCTAAATTAGAAAACTTTAGGTGAAGAAATTGAAGAAATATGTTCATTTCGAGCATAGTATGAGTTATTTCAAAACTAGAAGGGCTGATGGAATAAATCTTAAAAGGCTTGTTTGGTGATCTTATGTGCAAAGGATTTCTAGGTTCAAAAAGATTGACAAGCATATGCTGCAAATCACAAGGCTGCTACAATATTTGTAACAATTTGGGTTTCAGTTTGCAAAAAGAGTTATTCTAGATCATGAGAAATATGTTGGTCAATTTATGACGTCAAGAGGATGAGTCTCAAGTAAATTAGTTAAGTTTATTTATGAGACTGGTTAAAAGACAAAGCCGTTGGAAAGTCTGATTAAAGTCAGAGTTAATCACGTTTGAAAACTGGATCAAGTGAACAGAACATGTTTATGGATTGAGGGAACTAAAATTTGTTTAAGTTAAGAATTTTGCGAAGGATTCATTCATTAGTCAGTCTGAGGCTCTTGAAAATCGGAGAGGATTTCAAGGTGATAATGATCAAGCTAGGAAAATCATTTTCAAGTCTGTATAGGAAAGCGAACCTTGAAAGTCAAGCTAAAACAAGAACAAGATAAAGTTGATGGACGACTTGTGGTGTGTATGAACAATCTGCAGATATCTATTGAGACCAAAAGTTGTGGGGAGTATCAATTACTAGCCAAGATTTTTAACTTCTTCTTACTCATTAGCTCCTCGATCTATAATCATGACTGAGGCAAATCAAATTGGGAACCTTTGGCGTATGTGCTCCATTTCATATAAGAAACCTTTTGCCAATAACTGTTTTCAGTATTGGATTCTCAGAAATCCATTTTTGTTTATAAGTGTCTATTGTTTCGTTATGAATCTTAATACTTAAGAGTAATAGATACTTTTTATATTATGCCCTCGGCTTGATTGAATATTCTAAAGGAAAGATTTCAACTACTGGACAAAGTTAAGAGAAAATAAAATATATGTCATGAAATTTAACAAGCAAATAAAAATACATAACTAAAAGATATAATTATAAAATAGTTTAAAAGTTGTATATTGTTGTATAGATGTATATTGTTGTATTGCAGTTGTCTTTACCATTTTTTGTTACTTTGTTACATTATTTTTTTGGCATCTTAAAAGTTGTTAAATAGTAAAATATGATTTGGTAATCTATTATATAAAGACTCAGTCTCATAAGCTTGACACATCAGACACATCAGATTAAAAAAAATTATAAGAGAATTAAATAATTAAATTATTTAATTTCGTTTTTAATTGAACACAGAAACCAAAAGAGAAGTGCATATTAATTTATGGTTCATAATGAACTGCAAATTAATTTTCATTTTGGAAGTTGGAAAGATGGAATCTCAAACAATCTCCGATGCTTTCTAACATTGACTCTAAATTCCACAAGTCAATAGATAAGATTTTTTATTTTTCGTCTCCTCTTTGATTTATGGGTTTTTGAAAGCTGCATTATATTCCTTGTATTGAATTCATTCTGGTTTTGTTTACATAGACATTGATCCATTTTTTTTGTATAAAGGCATACCCACCGATGACAACGTTACCACCAGGATAAAGAGTTGAGACTTGAAGTCTCGGGTAGAAATCAACAAAAACAAGGAAGAACACAACACGGTTTGAGCACAAAGAAGAAGTACGACAACATGGAGAAGACACTTGGTGAGACGAGGCAGAAAGTAGAGGATAAGATGGTTTCGAAGGGAGGATTCGAAGTAGAGAGTAAGCTCTTATAATTGTTCCCGTTGGAAATTTGCCATTGATTGTTAAGAAAAAGCTTATCTCAAAAGAATTTAGCTAATCTCGAACGATTAGGTTCAAGTTATGTTCATTGATTTTATTTTATTTTTCCTTCAATCTTGATTGATTAGTCAAAGAAGAAAAGAAGACTAGGAAATGAGCTGTATTGTTTACGCAAATCAATGACAAAGTTTTAAGGCCAACTCTTGAAATTCTAAATTCTTATGAAATCTATTTTGAATTTTGGTTGAAAGTCTCTTACTTTATTATTCGATGTATGATTTGAAGTTTCAGTTATGATATTAAATATGGGATGGTAGCTATAACTTTTTGTCAAGAAGGGAAGTTTGAGGGTGGAGCTTGAGACAAAAGTGCCATAGATATGTGCAAAATATTGATGTCCTTATCCTTTGGTTGCCTGATTGGCTTGTGTCTCATCTGCTCTTTTTTGCTTCTGATCTTCATCTATGATATCCAAGACATGTTTGCAATGAAAGGTAATGCGGAATTTTTTTTTAAAGGACTTAATTCTTCAAATAAACATGTAATATGGACTATGAACAAGATGAGTTTGTAGGGTTTAATTTCATTTAATTTCAATACTTGCTCTTTACTTCCAAGTGCACCAAGTCTCTCGATAAAAACCACCTTCCTGACGCTCTTCCTATTTGTAGTGATTAGACATAAGCTGAAGAACCATTAATAAGGTCCGTTGGGGATACATCATTTCAGGTTGTTCAGTTCATCACAAAAATAGAGGTTTCGTAAACTACAATATCATATTTTTTCCACTCTCACTTTCTCTGCTTTAATCTTTAACACAAAATATATGCGGAAACATATCTCTGAATGATGGAAATGCGTTAAAAATACGATTTGGTGAAGATATTAAATTTGTCTTACAAAATACATATTATTATCATTAAAAATTAACTAACAAACAAAAAAAACAGATTGAGAAAAATAATAATGAAAAAAATATTTGGTTGGGTGCAAAAATAACAAGTATTACATCTACAAATTTTCCACATCTTTTATTCTTCTTCTTTTGGTTTTATTAGTCATTTTTATCTTCTGCTTCTTACTTCTTCTTGGTCATTTTTTTTATCCAAATTTTTTTTCTAATTTTTGTTTGTCTTTTTCACATCTTTACTTTCTTCTATTTTTTCTTTTGCATCTTCGGGTTTTCATCTTCTTATACTTTATTTTCTTCATCTACCGTTTTTTTCCTTCTTTTATTTTGATAATTTGTATGAAAATAACAGCAAAATTGTTATACAAATTATGAATATAAATTAATTAATTAAGGATATTTAAAAAGATTTTATTAAAGAATAAAGAGTAATTAGTCACCTAGATTGAATGAGAGAGCTTATAACGAAAAAATTACTGTGCATATATTATATATGATATGATTTTAAATGTTTTTTTATTAAATTCCAATTTTTAATATTTGTTTATTTTCTATTTTAAAGATTTTTTGATTAAATTCTGATTTTTAATAATTTTTATTAAATTTTAAATTTTTTTATTAAATTCCGATTTTAAATAATTTTCAATTAATTTTACAATTTTTCATAATTTTTAATTAATTTACGTTTTTTAATATTTTTAATTAATTTACGATTTTTAATAATTTTTATTAGATTCAAATTTAAAAAATATAAGAAGAGGTAAAGGGTAATTAGCCATCCTAAGATTGAATGATAGAGCTTTGATTCAAAATTTTACTTTGTTTATAATATATGATTAAAATAAACAAAACACCTGCATGTACAGATATTCATCTAGTAATAGTAAATAAAGAGGAAAGTTCTTTTGAGCTTTTTATGAACCATCGTTTGGATTGTTTTGGGAGATTCTTGATAATGAGTCACGAATATATAAAACCAAATATATTTTTCTTAGCAGTGTTCTTGTTTTTCAATTTCTAGTTCTTTTTGGATGCTTACTAATAATTAAAAAAAAAAAAATTCAAAGTCGATAAAAATTACAAAATGTTATATTCACCGTATTGTCATTACAGACACAAGAGCACACGCAAAGGCACAAAAACCACATAAACACAATCGTTGAAAATTTTAAATCTTCAACAAACGAACAAAATATAAGTTACCTTCTAGATTCTATTGATCTCTCTACATAGAATCAAGAACGCTTCCAAGATTCACAAGAAAAAAATAAGATGATAATTAAGAATAAAAACCTTTTAACGAGCTTCTATGTATCATTAGTGGTAGAACACTCTGGTTTGCTGAGTTCATCACCCAACATGTGATGGAGAAGTGTATCAACTCTTTGACTCCGAGACTTTGACCTTTTTTTAGCATTTTCGCAATAGCAAACAAAGCTTCAGATTTTGAGTAAAATTAAAAGACAAAAACCAAGATTTGATATGTCTACTTACCCTGCAGATCTACGGCGGTTTCTTCTTTCTTGAGAATCCTGCAACAATAATAATGATCAGATGAATACATCCACATTTCGAGCAATCTCCATATCATCTTTTCATGCCTGTGAGGTAACTTTATCGTGAACCGAAG